AAAATGAAGTACATACATTGAATTTTTTAAAGTTCTTAAGTATTTTTAAAATTATAGTCTCACCATTTCTACATTTTGCCTTGTGATTTATTTGTTGAAGAAATTGAGATTTTGTTGGATCCATCTATTTAGTGAACTTTAGCATGTTCCTTTGATCTATTTCCTGGAAAATGGAATTTAGATCTAGAGGCTAAATTAGATCTAGATCAGGTTAAATCCAATGTAGGTTAGATCATATTTAGGATTAATTGTTTGTTCGTTTGTTTGTTTCTGACAATACAAATCCATGAATCAGGATATGTTTCTTCATCTGGAGGCTTATAATTGATCCTTCCCTAGGGAAATATATGCCATGCAAAGAAACTGTTGCCAATGGATTAGTTGCCATATAAGATAGAAAAGGCAACCTTCTTTAGACACATATGTGACAAAAGGTGCTTCACAAATATGTCAAAGACACAGAAGAAAGTGAGATGAGTTTTTCAGGTGCTTATAAGGGAAATGACATATTTTATAGTAGCATTCATTTATGCAATGTTCCTGGCCAAAGGAGTATCAGAAAGGAAATTATGATCTTCACAGCCAGTTAGTTGTATCCTACTTCTTCTGAGGAAAAATAAGAACCCCTATGATAGCAAAATGTGGATAGATGGTTATAAAAATACTTGGCAAAAAAGATCTCAAAGCATTGCTAATGCATTTTTCACCATGGGCCATGCAGGCAGAATGACTAAAATTAATTAATTGGAAAGGCATCTTCTGTAAGCAAAATATCCAGAGCAAAGCTCTAATGGAAAATAGCCATTTGTCCTGCTTACCTAGAAATTACAGAAAAAAAATACTAAAATACAGGATGGTGTAGCTAGCAAAATCTTGTAAGTCAATAGCCTAAAAAGAATTTGGAGATAGTAGATCATGGTTATCTGGGGTGGTCAGGGTAAGTATTATACAGGAGGGGGACTATGGGGTGAGTATTTAAGGATTGTTAGAATGTAAATATAAGGAAATGAATGAGCTTACCATAAAATATGCATTGTACGAACAAAACTGGGTAGCTAAGAATGAGCACACGTATGTTCAAGGGACAATTGTAGATCAGTATTTAAAAAAAATACGCACAATGATCAGAGGCATAAATGGCATACCGCATAGTTCTGGCGTGAGGACTTAAACCATCTCGGTCCTTGGTCTACTGTAGCCATGAGGCACATTGGATAAGCTATTTAACTTCTTTACCTATGGAAAGAGAGCAGTAGACTCACTTAGAAGTTCCCAGATTTATGAAACAAGTAAACTTTTTTGAGTATTGACTAAATTAATTTCCTATTAATGTCAAAACTTAACAACAGACAAAACAACAACAACCTGTCATCTGCTATCATAATCATCTTTTAAAGAAGCTATATTTAAACGTAGAAATGTAAGTGGAGGCAGGAACTAGTCTCAGAAATGTGTGTGTGTGTGTGTGTGAGAGAGAGAGAGAGAGAGAAAGAGAGAGAGAGAGAGAGAGAAAGAATTTATATTAAAAAGAACCAGATTGCTTCTTTTTTTTTCTTATTTTGCAATAGACTGATTAAAAACCTCATCTTGGAATCTACCTGATCAGCATATTTGGGAATCATAAACTAGCTGATATTTAAGGGCACTTTCCTTTATGATATTCTAGGAAGTTATAAATGGGGTAATATCCCCATTTGACTCAGCCTAAGATTGTCTTTGAGTAAGCTATTTAACACTCCATATATTGTGTCTAGCCCTCAAATTATAGCATGTTATGGTTCTGATGTTAGAACCATTCTTTTAGGGGCTACAGATAGGTATGACAGACAAAAATATCATGCTGGAAGCCAGCGAGTTGTCCTTTAATCCTGTGGTCCCCACTCCCAAGCCTCAGACTGGTACCAGACCACACAGCAGGAGGTGAGCAGCAGACAAGCAGCAAAGCTTCATCTGTATCTACAGCTGCTCCTTATGTCGCTGCATAAGCTCCACCTCCTGTCAGATCAGCTGCAGCATTAGATTCTCATAGGAGCACAAACCCTACTGTAAAACTGTGCATGCGAGGGATCAAGGTTATGCGCTCCTTATGAGAATCTAATGCATGATGATCAGAGGTGGAGCAGAGGTGGTGATGTTAGCGCTGGGGAGCGGCTGCAAACACGGATTATCATTAGCAGAGAGCTTTGACTGCACAAGAATTGCAATGTACTCAAATCATCCCCAAACCTTATCCCCCACCCCACCCCCACCCACCCTTGGTTGTGGAAAAATTGTCTTCCATGAATTTGGTCCCTGGTGCCAAAAGGTTGAGAACCACTGCCTAGTCCACATTTTGTCACTCCCAGATAGATGAGCTTGTTCATGTCATTCAAACTTTTCTAAAATCATGTCAAAAAATAAAATTATATACTACTTTACCTATCTCATTGGTAAATAAAATAAAACATTTTTAAATGTTTTGGCCAGGCACATTGACTCATGCCTTTAATCCCAATGCTTTAAGGGGCAGAGGCAGGACAATCACTTGAGGCCAGGAGTTCAAGATTAGCCTGGCAACATATGAAGAACTCATCTCTATAAAAATATAGAAAAAATATTTGTTGGGTGTGATGGCATGCATTTGTGATGCTAGCTACTCAGGAGGATGAAGCAGGAGGATTACTTGAACCCAGGAGTTTGAGGTTACAGTGAGCTATGATCATGCCACTGCACTCCAGCCTGAGTGACAGAGCAAGATCCTGTGTCTAAATAAATAAATGAATGAATATAATGAATTTTTAAAATGAACTCTAAAACTACATAAAACATTAATAATAAAATACATGTTAAATATCACAAATATATATGAATTTACTACTAATTCAGAGCAGGTTGTAGGATTGTGATCTTAATTATTAAAATGGCTGGCTCTCTAAGAACTAGACTGCGAAAATTACAATGCCAAAGATGGTATTTTTTATTCTAAATCTTTAGAAATAAAATGTATATTATTCACCTCAATAAGTTCCCATTCTTATGAAATATTAGGATAACAACCAAAATTGTCAGCCATCCCGACATATCATTCTTTCCCTAAACATTTTAATTTTTATCTGCAGTTGGCATTGACCAAATGTTAAGAAAGTCACTAGAATTTAAGTTCACCAATAAATAAAAGTAAGCACAGCAGAATTAAAACTTTGACAAAGAATCCAAAAATATAATGATAAAATGTAGTAACTATATTCCAAATTAAAAGAAATGTATCTTTTTTTGGTTGGAGAACATTAATTATCAAAGATTTGGCAGAAGTCTACTATGTCTAATTGCATGAAATTAGCAAATTGACATTTCCAAAAATGGCAGCGATTATAGCTGCTTGGTGTTGTTAAATATCCTCCTACAAGGTTGCTGTTCTAGTGTATTACTGTTCATCACTGAAAACACTTCATTCTTTTTATTCCCATAGGAACTGTTTCTATAGTGAGTTATATAATTATGTAGGTTCTGAATCACCTGCATTTTGATATTTAAATTTATAAAGATAGCTGGTCACCAAATAAGGAACAAGACATTTTCCCCACTACTAACAGAGCAGTGATGTTGTGATCAAAATTATTTGGAAAGAACTCAGAATTAGGAGATTTTTAGATAGTTTTTCTGTAATTTTCATGGAAGAAATGAAGATAGTTGTAATATGGCTACCATGATAGTTTATAAATATATGTTTAGATAAGATTCAAAATTTGAAAGTTATCTTCCCAGCTTAGCAATTATTATACTCTGCATTGATTTTATTTTTAATTGAAAACTGTAGATTGAATTATATTTTCTATGAGGACATGGGCAGTATCTGTCTTTTTTCTGCTATATCCCCAGGATCTAATAAGTAGATTATGCCTAGGAGGTAATCAATAATGTTTTGTTGAATGAATGAGAAAATGATCTTCAGTAGTTCAAGTTTCAGATATGATGGAGAAGTTGCTTCTACCAAAGATTGAAAAACATTTGTGATTTATGTTATGCAATCATAAACTATCTAAATTATTATATTTTATTTAATAAAATATCAAATTTTTACTTAATATCCTATATCAATATGGAATAATGCCAATGGAAGAGAGAAAGGCAAAAGACCTCATGTAACATTTTTCTCCATTGATATTCATAATGACTTATTCAAAATGACATACCTTTTCAATAATATTGATTCATCCTTATACATATAGTTGAATGACTATTGAAATATTTTTTAATAGCCTGGAGCATTTGGTTATTCATTCTGCTTACATTTATAAACCAAAAACAATAACTTGTTTAGTTAGACCTAAATCTAAAGTCCAAAAGTAATTTTGGAGAAGCTACACTATCAAATTTATTTTATTTTATTCTAATCAGCCACAAATATGTTGGTTATAAAATATCAACTAAAACTAGTATTGTTTCGGCATGCCGATTAAAACTGAAATAACTGTTCTTTCAAAAGTTTGGTAAATTTTCAAGTTCTTGATACAACAACCTGGATACATGTTCATATAATTGTCATTTTAGATCTGTGACAGTGTTAGGTATATCAAAAAGATCTTTATAACTGATTATTTAGCTACAATAATTCTCTATCAAAAGGGTATTTATATAGAAATGTATAGATTTACAAATCACTCATGCCAAACACTTATCAAAGGAATTGCTTTTTAATACAAGGACAATGAGGTAAAACACAGTAGATATTGAGAGATCTGGCCCATATAAAATACAAATTTTCTGCTTATGCACAAGAGTAATTACATGAGGAAAATGTCATGTTCAGTTTATAATTCAATAAAAAAATCATTTGGAATTTTGTTTGGAAAAGATAATGCAAACATTTTAAACTATAACTAATATGATTCTTATAAGAAGAAAAATGTTTCTGATAAAATTATCATCATGACTTCATTTCTTGGTAAATAAATCCTTCAAGACTCTGTAGCCATGTATCCTTTTTTATTAACCACGTATTCCTTTTACTCTTAATCTAGGTCTGGACAAAGTGCCAAAGGATCTTCCCCCTGATACAACACTGCTTGACCTGCAAAACAACAAAATAACTGAAATCAGAGATGGTGACTTTAAGAACCTGAAGAACCTTCATGTAAGAATTATTTTATTTATTAACCACAGTAAGATATATCTCAAAGTACTTTTCAAAGCAAAACCTAGGTAAAGCCAAAAGTACTAGCTAGCAATAAATAATCACATAGTGCTTATGTACTTCTCTTTTTGGTGGTGGTGGGGAAGTAATATAGTGTATGTAATCATATCAAATCATATAATCATAACAAAATATCATTCTCTGCTGAAAATTCACTCAATTTTCTCACAAACACCCCATGTATCTTTAGTATTTGCTTCATAAAAATTCTTTATATCATAATCCTCTGTGATGTTTTCATGAATAAAAATTATTATTCCAGTTAGATTATACTGTAATAGTGGAACAAAACACAAAATGGATTGATCTTAGTATTATTTTATTTCCTTGTTTCTTTTTTCTTTCATCCATTTTCTAAGAAAGGTGTGAATGACCTTCCAAAGTGTCAAAGATTGATATCAAGAGAAAAAGGGATAATTATCTATATTTTATTTAGTAAATATAATTTTATCTTCATGTTTTTATATATATGTATATTTTTTGCTTTGTATTTAGGATTATGCATGCTGCATCCTTATCTGTGTTTTTATTTTGATTTTTCACTCACCTCTACTCTATATTATAATGTTGAGTCTATCAGTCAGGATTGCATCAAAAAGAGATGATTCTCTCAAAAGGGTTTCCTGCCTGTGTCTCATATGGCCACATCTACTAGGAGGACAGAAGATGAGGGTTAATGCAGTCCCCACAGGTCAGCTTCCCAGGATATAAAGAAGAGTCAACAAAGGCAAAGACTGAACATAGCTGTAGTTGGGAGAGGGCATTCCAGACATGGAGAGTGACCAACCCAGTCAAATAGTGTTAGCCTTCTATGAGACCAAATGCATTGTCTGTTCACATAGACATATGGTACCAGAGTCACCATAAAATGTGTTCTGTGGTGCATCTCTCTACCTATGGGATGAGTGTGATGTGGCCTCCTTTCAAAATATCAGTGCACATTTAGTATAAATAAGCCAGACTTCAATGTCCTAAGTAGATACTATGAAAATCTTATTGTGTCTGTATTCCATTCTGGTAGGCCACTCTTGAAGTACTGAGCCTTGTCCTTGGCATAGATTTTAAGAAGGACATTAAAGAGTATCCAGAGAAGGATGATGATGGAAATAAGGAATCTGGAAATCATGTCTTATAGGCACAGTTGATGGAGATGTGGATGTCTAAATTGAATGTAAAGGGTCACTGGTGACATATTTGAAGGGCCCTGTTGGAGAGGCATTGTATTTACTTGCTTCAACTATAAGGTAACAGAATTGTCCTAGTGAGTAGAAGTTTAAGGGAAGCAGGTAATTTTCAACATTAAGAATGAAATTTAAAGAGCTAGAATTTTCAGAAAATTGAGAGGATTGCCTAATAATGTGTTATCCATCTGTGGAGGTAAGAATTCACAACTTCTTATAATGAAATTCTTATGTTCTTAAGGTTGGGAGCATAAGATTAGTAAACTCTAATTTCACATCCATTTATTTCATTTAGTCATTATAGAAAATAATTGAGGGGGATATATAGTAAGAATAAGCAACATAGTAAAATATAAATATAAAATAAATGAACTGGCTGCTATATATTAGAATAATAAATATAAATACAAGGGAAAATATAACATAAAATAGAATAAACTTGTCATAATATATTACATAGTTAATATAATCAAGGTAAGATTTAGTTACAAACTTTCCGACAGCCAAGATGAGAAAAGAAGTAAATATTTATCCACTGAGAGAAAATATACCAGATTTTTTAATGTAGGCAAATATTTTTTCCCCTAAGAATTTAATATTTTACATTGAACAGCTAAAAGCATAGCACATAATACAATGCCATGATCAATTTATTGATGTGTCCAACAACAGAAGCACAATATGATATAAACAGTAAGTGTAAGGGCACAAAGCAAAAGAAAAATCAGACACCATCATATATCAGATTACCAGTTAGTGTCTTGAGAAAATAAGGGACAAAAGAGTTTTAGAGGATTAGTAAAAGTTTGAAAGGCAGATAGAAGAGGATCACCTGTGGAAGAGGAAAGCAAAGACAGAAAAAAATAAGCAGCAGACAAATACACATACAAGCTGGCTAGAATGAAAGATAACGGGCTCTGGAACAGGCGAGGATACCTCTTGAACTAGCAGTGATCCTTGTTTTGGACTGATAGGGTCTGTTTCCACTGAAAGGATACCGGGTTTAAGCCCTACTTCACCAGCTCTCTCGCTTTCATCTGAAGTTTTCACTGGGAGTGAGCTGATGGTGAAACCAACAAGGTTTATATGTGGCTATTTAAACTGTCATTGGAAGTGGATTAATAAAATGTGGGTATATGTATACCATGGAGTACTACTCATCTATAAAAAATGATGAACTAATACCTCTTGTATTAACCAGATGGAACTGGGGCCCATTATTCTAAGTGAAGTATCACAGGAATGAAAAAACAAACACCAAATGTATTCACATTAAATTGGTACTAATCAATCAACACTTTTGGGCACATAGGGAAGTGACATTCATCGGGGATCGGGCAGTTGGAAGCAGGGAGCAGGAGATGGGTATATTCAGACCTAATGAGTGCGGTGTGTGCTGTCTGGGTGATTGGTATGCTTCTAGCTTTGACTCAGGAGGTGCAAAGGCAATTTATGTGATCAAAATGTTTGTACTCCTGTAATATTCTAAAATTAAAAAAACTGTCATTGGAATAAGTTTAATGAAAAGATCATAAAAATTAATATCAATTTCAGCAAACTGAAATATTTAAAAAGGTTATAAAGTTATAACTTTATTTAATAAGTTATAAAAATATTTAAAACTTATTTGCATAAGTTTACCCTAAAGCTACATTTTTAAAGATGAGAAATGCTCTTACTATAATCTCAACTTCCTGCACATTTAAGTATAATCTAAATAATTTGAAAAAGACTCTTTTATATCCTTACATAAGAGACATCTAGTTCTGTGATGCTCTCATTAAAGCTGGAATTCGTAATCATGTGTTCTTTCTTTTCCCAAGTCTCCCAAGTATGTTTTTAGGCAACCACATTTTGGCAATCCCTTTCTTTCTACTTCAAAGTATACATCAGAAGAAAAGAGAGAGTTTATTAGAGCTTTCAACTATTCAAAGGATTTTAAACAGCTACTTCTCTCTTACTCTTTCATTCATGATTACTTCTGTCCTTGTTATTATACAAATAAACATCTTAATTTCGGCTAAGGAAAGACACACTTGAATGGGAAGGAAGGAGAGAAATGAAAATTTAGCAAGGATTAAAATAGAGGGGATTTAACAGAAATGTGTTCCTTTATTCTTCAATAATTATATCCATTTAAAACTCTGTAGCCTATTATGAGTGCTACATGTTGCATAAGAGTAGTATTATGTATAGTAGAAAAACTACATAATTCTTCTATAAAACAATGGAAAATGAAGTGTGATAATGCCAACATTCAATATTGAAGCTTAATAAATCTAGTAAGGAAGGTTTTTTGTTTTCAATTAAAAATCAACAAAAATTGTCAAAGACTGAATAATAGCAAAGCATTTGTTTAGAAATAACTATATATTATTCATAGACATAGAAAGGTCAAGTTACTTGCTCATAGTCACCAAATAAGAGTCAGAGCTTGAGATTCTAAACTCGAGAGAATTCTGGCTTGAGCAAGTGTACTAATAATTGCCTATAATTATGATAGTAACCAAAAAAGCCCTCACAACAATACTTGGTACAGTGCAAGCTCTACATAAGGAGAAAAAATGTATATGAAATTAAAAGTTAGGTTTCAACATTTAACGTAAAATAGATTTTTTAGATCATATTTAATATATTTAATTATATCAAGTTTTCAAGATTTTCCTCTATGGAGGGCAATTGAATATTTACTTTTCACTTTTCCTTAAGCTTCTGCAATTTGGAGTGCCTTGTAATGATAAAAGTTGCCTCACTCTTTGCACTTCTAGGCTCTGACTTTTTCCTGACTTTTTGTTTATTAATGGGGCTTTTTGAACTTTCTGTAATATCCATTAGAATCTCTTAGGATTTTATATTAATCAACCAATGCCTTTTTTAGGATTAGTTAAAAGATTACATTACCTAATAAGAAGTTTTAATTTGTCAAATCCTGTGAACTATATGAGGATGTACATAGGTTAATTAACCAGTTATTACCTTTTGAAAACCAGTTATTACCTTTTGCAAACATTCTTGCACTTCTGAGACTGAAAGTTCTCATTGTTTTATTACTCCAGTTCCCTTTTTGTCCCTCTGCATTCTCATGTGTGCAAAAAAGCATACTACAATTGAAAATGCAAGTTTCTTAGACCTTGATAAAATTATTTTAAGTTTCTTAAGATTAATTAATAAGGTGACTTAAAATAATAAAAATGGTGTGGTTCTGTTAGGCATATAGATAAGGGGAACAGAAAAAAGCAGTCCAAAAATAGGTTTAGCAATAGCTATACCTATAACAATAATGAATTAGAAGTAATTTTCTATATTAGGAGAACTCAGAAACAAAAATCAAATAACTATCAAAATATTAACATAGTTGCCATATAAAACCTTTATATGTAAAAAGGCAAAAATAAAACAAAAACTCTATTAAAGTTTTTTGTGCCATATTAACTACATCTTTATTGTCTAAAGTAATTATTGAAATATATTAAAATTTATTAACAATAAGAAATATTTGTGATCAGGCAATCTCCTCCCTCCAAAAAATATATAATAATAAATAGTAGGGAAACAAAAGAAAATTTGTTTAACCTTTCAAGTGACAAAGAAACATAAAAAAGAAAGCAATGAGCCACAACATAATATTATTTTGGCAATACTTTTGAAAAAGATAATATCTAGTTTTATGAGGCTGCAGTAAAATTTTAGTCCCTTGCATTGCTAGTGATAGCATAAATTAGTACTACTATTTTTTAGTGGAATCCTTGATAACAGTCAATAAAGATGAACGTTCAGGTTGAAAAGCTGACTGAGGGATGAATGTCTATGGCACTGATTGTTTCCAAGTTATCTTGAATCATTCAAGTAAGTTCAATCCTTATGAGTACTTATTGTTTAAAAATTATATATATATATATACACACACTCTTACATATACATATATACATGTACATGCACAGACACATACATATGCATACACATATGTCTGTGCATGTATGTGCATATATATGTTATATATCACATAACATTCCTCTCCCTTCTATTCCTGATGCTCAGATCCTCATATTATACATTTCTTAAGTAAAGGAATCACATTTGCTTATTTTTCCTCTGACTTCTTGCAATTTTCCAATGTCTCTGCTAGTTCCATAAATGCAATGAATAGACTAGGCACTTGTTTTACATATAGGTGGAAGGTTTTGGATTTAAGGAAATGTTTTTCTTTTTTGCTATCTACAGGCATTGATTCTTGTCAACAACAAAATTAGCAAAATTAGCCCTGGGGCATTTACACCTTTGGTAAAATTAGAACGACTTTATCTGTCCAAGAATCAACTGAAGGAATTACCAGAAAAAATGCCCAAAACTCTTCAGGAGCTGCGCGCCCATGAGAACGAGATCACCAAAGTACGAAAAGCTGTGTTCAATGGAATGAACCAGATGATTGTCATAGGTACAGATGTTTTTTTTAACTTTAATATCAGGATTTAAGTTTCATCTTAAGAGATTTCAAGTAAGCTTTAAGTGCAGGAAGATAAATTAGCTAGAGCCTCCATGCCTTATGTTTATATGAATTACAGCGTCAGGGCCAGAAGAAATGGGATTTTGAATCTGTACCATTCAGTGATGTTTTTATTCCTTGTCCTTGAGGATCCGAGAATATGGAGAAAGCTCCAGTGCTGAACTCACCCTACCGCATGACTAATATGCAGGATGGATTTCAGCAGAGCATAATTAAAGATATTTTGAGATACCTTTCCATTGTGGGGATTTGTTGTGTTTTGAACATCCATAAGTCATTTGCTTTAAAAAAAAAAACAAACCTGTTATAATGTTTTGCTAAATGTATGGTAAATTTTTTAAGTTTTTTGATTTTTTTTAAGTTTATAAAATGCTTAATTCAAATTCTTTAATGACATTGTAAAGTATCTTAGGAAAATAATAAATAGCATAAGGTGTGATTTGTAAACACTTGCTTTAGTTGATTTTTAAACAGTCCTGCATAGGCCCCTTACATAATTTCAATGTTATTGTGTTTGCTACTATTCTTTTTTCATAAATCTTTGGTTTTTTTTATTGTTTTTGGGGGTTTTGATAGTTTTAATAAGGGAAATCTTTATCCTATTTTGCTATCCTCCTGAGGAGCATGCTGTTTAATTATCTTTTGTTTTTCAGTCAAGTTGTTATTGACCCATATTTCTTTCTAGATTCTTTGTGGAAACAGACACTACTCTGACAAATAATATCCTAAAATTGCCCCTAAAAGCCTTTCACTTATTGTTTTGTAGAACTGGGCACCAACCCGCTGAAGAGCTCAGGAATTGAAAATGGAGCCTTTCAGGGAATGAAGAAGCTCTCCTACATCCGCGTTGCTGACTCTAACATTACCAGCATCCCTCAAGGTGATAGAAAATTCTCTAATACATTTGAAAAATATGAGTTCGAAAACTTAGACATTTAAAAAAATTGTTGTGCAAATTTGAATTGTGATCCAAGTGGTCAACCTTATTTCAAGTGAATTTTGTAATCCTGGAAATGTTCTACAGAGCCTGGGTGACCACCAGGCCATCAAGGCTCACTGTAGAATTGTATAGACTCCTTATAAAGTCCCTTCCAAGATATAACTTAAGGCACAATGATTTTATATTATACAATGGTTAAATCACAAAGAAAAAAGTAAAGTTATTTTAAAAATAGTATACTTTGGTACTTTGTGGGAAAAAAAAGACTTATGGAAGTACTTCTAAAATTTAGCCAAGTTTTACTTTGAATCTCCAATCCCTTAGGGAATTCTTTTCCTTTTTAGAACATTTTAGTCATTAATGTCTGAATAGGGGGATATAACACTCTTAATAATCGTGGTTGTGTGTTGTAAAAAGTATAAAGTTTGGAGTCAGCTTGCTTGAGTTCAAATTATCATTAATTGGCTGTTGGCTCAATGACTTTGGGCAAGTTATTCATCTGTGCCTCAATTTCTTTATCTATGAAGTGGAAATGATATTAATATTCACCTCACTGGGTTGTTTTAAAATTAAATAAATAATTAGAGAAATGTTTAGCATGTAGATGAGTAGGATGTTAATATTACCTTCAGTTATTTATTAAAAATCAAATCATTTTTAATAAATAACTATGCTTAGACAATGTACTAAACACTGGAGACAGGCCAGTGAACAGGGTATCCTACCTGCCTTAGGAGTTACTATCTAAAGCCAAGCCAGACAAGGAAACAGCACTGACCACATAGTCACAGGGGTAAGCTCATTCTGCCTGCTATGCTATACCCAGGAGACAGGCACATAAGCCAATCTTTGTGAATCAGAAAAGGCGTGAAACCACCAATGATAAATTTATCTAATTTGCACATTTTCCCTACTCCAGGTTTTTCAGTATCAAAAAAGCCCCTTTATGGTCTCAAGTTTTTCTCTCAGTCAGTGCCTTTCTCATTTTAGATGCCTTGTCCTTGGACTGCATATGCACAGAAAACACTCATTGCTGTTTATTGTGCTTCCACAGAAATTTCAACTCCTGAGAGGACATATTCCATGGCATGCTTTGTTACTACCCCTTGCCCTCTTTACAGTCTTTTGGCTACAGAGTACACTTTTGATGCCCTTAATATAACTACTGAGATGGATGGATGGAGAGCTAGATAGATATATACATAGATAGATGACAGAAATAGATTTATAGTTTATAAAAAGTGCTTTAATCTTAAGTCTATAATTTGTAACATGTAATAAGTGATATTTTTTATTCCTACTGTAGGGATGAAATATCTATATCTATATAGATATATTTTGCTGAAATTTTTTTCCCACTATTTCATGCTACCAGAAGGCTTACATTAAGCACAGTCTTAGACTTTGCTGTCCCTCTTAATGTATCCTCCAAAATATCCTTCAGTGACACCTTTTATCACTTAGTAATCTGTTTTCTTTTACTTTCTTATGTTTTCTCCTTATCTTAGGCAATCTTTTATTTTTACTTCTAGCTTGTTTTTATTTACTACCACCTAATACAAAAGTTATCATAACTATAATTTATTAAGCACTTTTTTAGTTCCAGGTATTGTGCCAAATGCTTTTCATGAATTCTTCTATACTATTCTCACAACATCTCTATCTAGTAGTATTATCATCCCTGTTCCATAATGTGGAAGATGAGGCTTAAATAAGTTAAGTAAATTGTGAACAAAGTCTTAGAGCTTGGAAGTGACAGAGCTGGGATTGTGCAGGACCAATGTCAGAAATCATGTGCTGAACTGTTTCACTCTGTTACCATCTTAAGTTCTATCTTTAAGTATATGTATGCCTATCTCATGTATGATTCTGCTGTGTTTAGGCTGAGATTATTATACTCAAATACTGACAACCTCTTGGTGATATTTTTTCCCATCAGTCATGGAAACAGAAAAGCAGTAGAATATATAGATTATAAAATCATACTCTCAAGTTAGACCAACCTGGGTGATAGATCCAACTCAACTATTTAATTGTTTTATGCTGTTAGGCTAATTATTTTACATTTCTAAAACTTACATTTTGTAATCTGTAAAATGGAAGTATTAATGACACCTATATTCTAGGATTATTGTGAGGATTACTAGATAAAAGTAAGGCTTATAATGTATACACATAATACCTGGCTCAATGTAAGTTTCAATATATTTTATCTTAAAAAAGAAAAAGGAAAAGAAAAAAATAAAACTATAGTTACGTTCTTTAGCTAAATTCCATAATGGCAAAGGCTCTTTATAAACTCACCTCTCTCTGTCTTATTACAAAGTTTTCTTCTACAGTCAAATTTTCTGGTTGTAGCTTCACTTTTGGAAAACTGACACTCCAAAAGGGAGGACACTTAGAAATTAGGTAAGGGTAATGAATGCGATGGTAATTAGTATACTAGAGACACTGTGTTAAAAAAAAATCTTTTCATGGTGATAGGGGAGAAGTGTGCATTAAATTTGCTTTGTTACATATTTACTTGCTTTATGTGAGTATTTAAAAATTCATATTTATTTATTTTAAGGATAATCAAGTGGTTGAAATCTCTTATTCCCAGAGTGATTGTGATTTCATAATATTTATACATGAGAATAATGCAATTGTTATTTCATTTCCTCTAGTTAAGAGCATGCTATCTTAACTTCCTTTGGCCATCTGGGAGCATATTAATTTCCGTGTTTAATAAATAGATAGACTAAAAAACTTATAACTTTGAGTTTCTGTTTCTTTATCTATGAAAGGACATTAATGGTCAATAATTTATACATTGAGAATTAAAGGATTTGAGCTAGGAAAAGTACCAAGATCAATGTTTTGTACCTAACAGACATACAGTAAGTAGAGGTTCCTTTCCTTAGCATCTCCCAAACAAAACATACTCCTATTGAGAAACTAAAAAGACATCTGCATTAAAATGTTTATAGCAGCACAATTCACAATTGCAAAGATGTGGAAATAACCCAAGTGCCCATCAATACATGAGTGGATTAGTAAAATGTGGTATATGTCTACCATGGAAAACTACTCAATGGTGATCTAGCATCTCCTGTATTTTCCTGGATAGAGCTGGAGCCCATTCTACTAAGTGAAGTATCATAAGAATGGAAAAACAAGCACCACATGTACTCACCATCAAATTGGTATTAACTGACTTAACTGACCAACATTTAAGTGTCCATATAATAGTAACATTCGTTGGGTGTGGGGCAGGTGGGAATGAGGTGGAGGGAATGAGTATTTATTCACACTTAATGGGTAAAGTGTGCATTGTCTGGGGGATGGACACACTTAAAGCTCTGGCTCAGGTGTGACAAAGGCAATATATGTAAAATAAACATTTGTACTCCTGTAGTATGCTGAAATTAAAAAAAAGAGAGAGAAACTAATAACCATTTTCAAATCAAATATGGACTAAACTGTTATATTAAATAGACAATATTGACAGAGTTCAGTGGGACGGAATGACAATTTCAGACCAAATATAGCCTGTGATTTTCCAATTCTATATCGTTATAGACAAATAAGCAAGACTTTATGCCAATCAGATGTTAATTCTACACGTAACCAATTTGCTATTTTCTTTGTATTTGTTACTATTCTTTTAAATGGAACAATATGCTGTTTAAAAAGCTGTATAAATTATATCCTCAGATGGCAGGAGGAAATGAAAAAAAATATTTAAACTTTTGTATTTATGTTACTAAATCTTTGGAAATCACAGACATTCAAGAAGTACTGTCCGGAGGTTTAGCGGGTACTCTGGATGTAAGATTATTTCCCCAGGTGCTCTACACATGGCAGATCACTTGATTATAGGCCTCTGCACTCCTGTTGTATAAAGAAACATTCTGGATTTAGTAGGTAAAAGTAAACTTTAGCTCTTTCTACACAGACGTGTTGCAGAAGCATTTGATGTTTTTATGAAAAAGTCAAGTAAGGCTAAAGCCAGCATAGTTTATCAGTGTTATTTATTAATCATGCTCACTAATGAAATAGCTGGTTAAGTTTGTATATAGGCTTAATTTATAATCTCATTATAGATCAAATGCTTATCTTCCCATTTTATAGTTAATATCTTTTATCAATGTTATTGTTAGTCCATTAACAAACATGGAAGATAACTATGAAATTCAGGGTTTGACTTTAGTTCTACAATTGCAATGACAAAAATCTACTACATGATAAAAAATATGCATATTTTGGTTAAAGTCAATCTAAGAGAAAAGTATCAAGGGTTTGCACTACTTCCAAAAGCATATATTATTATGAAAGGGAGGAAGAAAAAAAAAAGCAAAACTTATTATTTGAAACTGTATATCTTTTAAAACATTGATAGCATATGCCCTCATTAAGTCTTTCCACATTCTGTATTTATAATGTTTATCTGCTAATGTAGTATCATGTATTTCCATATTCTAGGTCTTCCTCCTTCCCTTACTGAACTACATCTTGATGGCAACAAAATCAGCAGAGTTGATGCAGGCAGCCTGAAAGGACTGAATAATTTGGCTAAGTAATAATATCCTTTCATAACTTTCTATCAGAACATTGGCTAGGGATATAAATTAGTGTCAACATGTTCAGAATTAAAAACGTGATGATTTATTTTTGACTGTACCATATTTTGTTCTTGTTGTTTTTAACAACCTCAAACTTTAGCTTATCCAATTATTTCTTGAGAAGTCAATGAAATAGTATAGCTACTATAACCACCAAGATAAGCTTTCTATTTTGTGAATTCTGTATTATTTTAGTTATATTTTATGCACAAGATGTTTGATTTCAGTATGTACATTTACTATGTTCTAACGTATTTGCATCAAACAGAAGGTTAAGTAAATAAGGTAGTGTCCAGAATTTGAAAATGCATTAAAATGAAAGCTATCGGGACATGGAAATATAGGGCATTCCACAAATTACTATTAGAATAGTTATGATGAGATTCTATAATCCCCTATTCTCTAAAGAGCTTAAAAAAATGTGCCTGGAAATTTAATGTAGGCCAACGAAAGAAAATATTTTTTTGTTTGGTTTGGTTTGGTGTTTTTTTTTTAAATAAATGATTACTAGCGCCTTTTCTGATTCCAATCTTTTCGTGTTTGTAATCTGGTTAAGTAAAAAGAAGAGGGGAGCTCTGGCTAACTTTTTCATTTGTCTTCAAGGAACACTCTGTTCTTGATCCACACGCATTCCTGAATGTTCCTACAGAGAAGTATTATGCCAGATTTACTCACTCTCATTTTTGTATATAAATTTCATGGTAGATAAATAAATATAAAGTATATCCTTGCATCTTGGAGACATACCTGTGACCAAATGGATGTATAATGCAGCTTTTCCCATTTCTGTTGATATTCCCCAATGACCCAGGTGGATAGTGAAGGCTAAAGAGGAGCATATGTATGTGAGTTGAAAAATATTCCCCTGGTGTCTCAAATAATACTAAATCCTTCATTCAGCTATTTTCATTATAGTCTCTAATGTTGAAAACATTTTTCACAATAGTATTATTCATCATCTACCTTTCTTTGTTGATTAGATCCCTCTAGCTGCAGGAGAATGTAGGCAGATTTAAGTTGCATCTTTTAATGCATAGAACTGTCTTTAGGACAGTTATTACCATTGGATTATTATTAGTACTAGTATTAATAAATAATATTTGAAAGTTCTAAATATATAAAATAATTTATATTATGGGTGCTATTTTAGAAAAAAAATATTCATTTTGTACTGAAAGTGGCATGGAGATTCTGAGATTCTGCATTTTAATATTGATGTCATATGCTTTGTATCAAACAGAAGCATAAAGAACTAATAAAGTTTGAAAAATCCAATAGAAATTCAGATTTGTCTTTAAATGGATTTTTGAATTCCATTCATTAAATTAGAGTAGATTGCTTCATTGGTCAAGTGAATTTTCTCAATTCTTGAATTTATCAAATTCAAGAATTTTTTCATTTATTTTTGGAATCAAATCCTTATGTTGTTGTTACTAATTGAGGTTGAAACATGAGAAGTATTTTGGTGCCTAAAATCCAAACTGTGAAAAGAAGAAAAAAGAAGTCACTGATCTCAGAACATTTCAGAACATGTTTCAGGGCAAAAGTTTTAGTTAGTTATTAACAAGTAAAAAGCAAATAGTATATACCCCTCTACAGAGCTGCAAGATGGTTTTCAGACAAAATTCTCTTAATTTTTTATAAAGTATATATATGTATATATATGTATGATTATGTGTGTATGTATATGTAATCATCTCTCTTACTAGGCAAAATAGTCTTTGATGAAAACAATCGTAGTTTTTGGTCCATGTAACCTATGTCCCTAATAATACTTATAACAATCTTATGTATATAGTAATATCAAAAGACATTTGTTGATTGAATATTTAAATAAATGGTTAAATAACTGAATAGTTTCCTTAAATAAATTAGTAGAAATATTATATTCTAATGAATATGCTAGTCCAAAATTGAATATTGGAACTTAAGGTATTGAATAGGAGATATAATTATTAAGTAAAAAAGGAAAGGTGATAAATAAAAGAGGGATCCCCAAGATGGAAGGAAAACTAAAATATTCTGAGCCAAGATACCAGGTTAATAATCAACAACTAAGAAAAGCCAACTGCACTATTAATAGCATAAAGTCAGCCATCTTTAACCTTCATTATTTCAAATATCAAGCCATAATTAAAATCAGGAAACTTTGCTTATCTAACCCAGCATCTAAATCCCAAAAGAGCTGAACAATTAGAACTAACTGAAGATTAGCAGAAACCACCCTACAGAATATGTCCACTCCTCTTCCATTGCATTTGAAGGAGCTGTATAAATTCTTCCCCTTTCTCTCTTGGAGATTTCAGGCTCTGTTTCATTATCTTGCTGCCTCATAACTGGTATTCCTTCTTTGACTTCTGGATTGATATCACTCTGCTTTTGATGGGTTCATACTTAGAATGTTGAACAAATCAGCCATGTCTTCAAGTCAACTTCCTCTCCTCTGGACTCCCATTTGTTATGAAGGGATATCATAGCAGCAGAGCTCTCACGTGTTACACATTTAATTTAAAAAATATGAACCAAAATCTTGAGTGAATTAAACCTGAAGGTCACTTATGAGGAATGTCAGAGGGGCCAAGAGATAGAGATTTGGGTCAGAAACCAGAAATGTTGGCACCAGGTAAAGTCTCAGAGTGACTATTAGATGGTTACTGAGGAACTTTTTCAAACTAATGCAAAATGCTAATTCTGTTTCTAGTGGGTAAGCTTATTGACCGTTTAGAGCTCTGTACTTTTTATTTTCAATGAATAAATTTACAGGATAAATGTGTAATTGCTTTATTTGCAAACTGACCAAAGTGATAATATTTTTATTTTATTTCTTTCATATTAATTTACTATATTCATTACAGATAGAAATCAATAGCTATTTATTGAGCATTTCAAGCACTGTGTTAAGTATCAGGTGTACCTCAAGACAGTCACTTTTCCAAAGTAGAGGCACACGAGTACACAAGTTTTTAAAATATAGTCCCGTAAGTTTTATAAGAGATTAATCACAGAATGCTATAAAGCATTTATAAGGGGTACCTGTCCAGTCATTATCTGTTAGAGGAGTCTCAAAGAAGGTAACTGAGCTAAGACCTTAAGAACAAATGGGCTTTGTCCAGGCTCAGAGAGGTTGGAAAAAGCACTCTAAGCAGAGGGAACACTATGTGCAAAACTAAAAACTTTCTTTTCTGTTGACTTGACCAATCACAAAATACCTACAAGTAAGGCATCCATGTGTGGTGTTTGCACTAATTTCTGCCTTCTTTGGTAGGTTGGGGCTGAGCTTCAACAGCATCTCTACTGTCGACAATGGCTCTCTGGCCAACACACCTCATTTGAGAGAGCTTCATTTGGACAACAACAAGCTTACCAAAGTACCTGGTGGGCTGGCAGAGCACAAGTACATCCAGGTAATGCAAATCCACTTATTGTGAGGAGGAGCTAGAGACTAAATCTTTCCCACTGGGATGAAGGCAGGAATCTCTGCTTAGAAATCTGTTTTTTGGCAGAGTGTCTTAGTCAGCCAGGATTGCTCTAACAAAATGCTAGAAACTGGGTGGCTTAAACTACTCACATTTATTGCTCACAGTTCTGGAGGCTGGATGTCTGATATTAGGTACCAACATAGTCAAGTTCTAGTGAGGGCCCTCTTCCAGGTTTCAGACTGGCAACTTCTCATTTTGTCCTCACATGGAAGAAAGAGAGCTAGGTAGCTCTCTGGGTTCTCATGAGGGCACTAATCCCATTTATGAGGGCTCCACCCTCATGACCTAATCACCTCTAAATACTACTTCATTGGGTTTAAGGTTTCAACATATGGGGGATACACACCTTCTGTCCATTGCTCAGAGAGAGATTTTTAATATTTGCACATATTCATTCTGGTTTTATGAAAAATATACTTTCAAATTAATTAAAAAAAATTAATACCATTGTATTAATTGAACTTGCTTTAATGTTTGTTGACAAAATGTAATCTCTTTTATGAAGCACAGTAGTTTCAGGTCACAGACCAGAGTAACAAATAAATACTGCTTGGGCAAAACCTGTGATGGATTGATATGGAATAAAAAAGTAGTTTTAACTTTTATCTTCAGCAAATATGTAGCTCAAAAGGGAATATTTAGCTAGCAGTGTGACTGAATTAATTTTATATAAAGTATCAAGTTATAGTGCTTAATAAGAATGAGAAGATACGGTTCAATGGTCTATGGTGGTGACAGTGTTTTGCAGTCTATAAATCTATAAATAAAAAGCATGCTGATTAGGTTAGACAGCAACAAAAATTTCATGTATTGTAGTATAAGATTTCCATTGTTACTTTGAGGAAAAAAACCAAAAATGTTACTTAAATGATTCAATTTAAAAATTTTCTATTGTGTTTTTTTTTATAGTTTTTATATTTTTTTTTTTTTTCTCTTTTTTTTGTTTTTTTTGGTGTTATTTTTATTTTTTTTTTTTGAGATTTTTATGTGTGTTTTTTGTGTCTGAGACTATTTTGACATTCTTTTATAGGTTAAATTATTTTATGAAGTTGCTCTTTCGATAATCTAGTATCTAAACTTTGGTTGGTGTTCAAGATATTGTTCACTTTACTGTCAACAATGTCAATAAATTTCTGATCTTTTTTATTGTTGAGTTGTGACATAAATTCCAAATTTAATTGGCAAGCACAATTTACATTAGCTAGATTTCAATAAATTGATTTATAAGTGTGAAGATGAAACTTAAAGTCTTTTTTAATGCTGATTATTTTTCAGTGAGGGTGTGGTATTTTTCAATGTAGTGGTGGATTAGTAAGTAGGGAGAATTTTAAGCCACAAGTAAAATCAAGATGTTTAGAAGATTTAGTAAGACTAGTAATTGTGTTTACTAGTATGTTGCTTGTGGGTTTTTTATTTGTCTCTGTTTTACTAACCCAGAATAATTATTTTCACCTTCTTGATCACTGTTTATTTAGATATCAGGACACATTATTGAGTTAATAAAATCTGTTTAGTGGGTTCGTTAGGGATATTTAAAGAATGAAATAGAATAGAATAGATTCCGGTAATGGTTAAGTACTTCAGTAAAATTTTGTTTCGTATGCATGGATGCATATATGCAAGCCCCAATATACAATGTGCTTCTTACTGTGGGTCATAGAGAAAAGTTATAACGCATGTTTGGAGTCTTTGTTGAATGTAAGAGAATTTCATAGGAATTTGCAGAGTTCCACACATTTGGAAGAATCTTTTGCTTGGCTATTATACTATTATAACATAATAGTTCTTTATTGTGTTGTGAAGTACAGTTTCCTAATATTCTTAAACTATTTTGCATATATTCATAAGAGATATTTGATTATAGTTTTCTTTTCTTGTGATGCTTTTTGTCTGGCTTTGGTATTAGAAAATATTGACTTTATGAAATGAGGTGGGACTCTACCTTTTTTCTTTCTTTTACATAGACTAATATTTGCTTTATGTCTTGATATTTTTTTCCTCACTTTCAATGGCAGCCATAAACACTCACCAAACACTTCTCTCCTTTTTGCTAATCACTGTTGAAAAATAGAGAATAGTAAATGATAGTAAGAAATTTTTAAAACTTGAGACTTATAAAACATACTCAAATATTACTTTTACTTTAAAGCACTGCATTTATGTGACTTCCACTAGTCACACTTCCACTAGTCTCTTCTTAAGTATTTTCATAAACAAGGCCCTCACCAACATAAATAGTTAATGTTCTTGTAAGTAGAATATTTCAAGTCAATTTTTTAAGGAAGCTCCTCATAGGTTTTATAGCTCACTTTAGACATGGTTGCTTTAGCATTATATTCCAGCCTTGGTTGTGTTATCACTCACATCTAAAAAGTGGAAATGTAAATTCATTTCTAAAGTTCTTTTTATAAATCTGATATTTAATGACTATAAAAAGTCTATGCATGAATTATAATACTGTTATCTTAAACATGATTATAAAATATATTTCAGAAGAAATCCTAATGAATTATGGCACTATATTCATAGATTAGAACTAATAACATAGGATACATTTTTGTTAAAACTTTCTAGGTATATTTATATCAAATGCTGTAACTGTAAGTATTTCTTGGAGTTTACGGTTATTATTTAAATACCAATACTGTATGCCCTCTTCTTTTTTCACTACACAGCACTTCCTCATTCCATATAATTTTATTACAAGGTCTATCATTTTATTTTTGACCTGAAAACATAATATTTCATGTAGATCCCAAATAGTCCATATAGACCTGATACCTGAAATAATGTTTATTCAGTCAATACATTTTTATTGAACACCTACTCTATTCTGGTAGGCACTGGAACACAGCAATGAACAAACAGAACAAGTTTCTGCCTCATGGAGCTTTTAGTATATAGGAGAAAAGCAGACAAAAATCAAATAATTACATAATATGATACATCTTGATAATTGCCATGGAGAAAATTAAACAAATGTAACATAATTATGCCACAGACAATGGCAGAACAGGGTGATCAAAGAAGGCCTCTTTGGTAAGAAGATACGAATTACATGAGTCAGCAAGCCCTGTTATACCTTGGAGAAGATTATTCTAGGTTGAGTAAGCAATGTGTGACAACCTAAGGAGGAAGCATGGTTTGTGTGTTAGAACAGCGGCAAGTAGACTGGATGGTTGGCTTGAACAGTGAAGTGAGATGAGGTCAAAGCAGAAGGATGTTAGCTCATGTAGAATTTGTAGGGCATTGTGAGAACTTTGGATTTTTTCCTGCACAAGATGGAGAAGCACTGGAGTGCTGAGGCAAATAACATATAATTTGACTTACTTTTTAAAACAATTGCTCTGAAGTTAAAAAAAAAAAAAAGGAAGAAAGAAAGAAAGAATAGAATTTAGAAAGGCAAAGAGGGAAACAGGGAAAACAATCAGTATGACTTCAATCATCCAGAAAGAGAAAATAATGGCATGGACAAAGTTATGGAAGTAGACAGGGGGAGAACTGGATGATGTGTACATTTGAAGGTTGACCTAGTGAGATTGTTGTGAGATTGTTGACAACTGAGTAGAGAGTGTATGAAAAAAGGAGGCTCAAGTATAATGACAACGTTCATAGCCTGAGTATCTGGAATGATTAACATGAAACTTGCTGAGATGTGGCAAAGCAAGTTTGGGAAAGAAAGGTGAAATAAAAAGTTTGGTTTGAGAAGTATTAAAGTATTCAAACTGAGTGATGAAAATATTGAAAAGAATAAAGTATTAACAGGAAGGTCCTTAATATATTTAGGGAAAAATAATCATCCCCATTGTTGCATATTGCAGGTTGTCTACCTTCATAACAACAACATCTCTGCAGTTGGAACAAATGATTTCTGCCCACCTGGATACAACACCAAGAAGGCTTCTTATTCGGGTGTGAGTCTTTTTAGCAACCCAGTCCAGTACTGGGAGATCCAGCCATCTACCTTCCGATGTGTCTATGTGCGCTCTGCCATTCAGCTCGGAAACTACAAGTAATTCTTAAGAAAGCCCTCATTTTTATAACCTGGCAAAATCTCATTAATGTAATTGCTAAAAATAAGTAAATAAATAAAAGCTAGATACTGGAAACCTAACTTCAATGTGGATGTGTTACCCACATGACTTATTATGCATAAAGCCAAATATGCAGTTTAAGTAATTGCCTATAATAAAAAAAATACTTTGCCTGCCATTTTCAGAATCATTTTTTGAAGCTTTCTGTTGATGTTAACTGAGCTACTATGGATATTTTTATTTCACTAAATGTAAAATTTGGAGTAAATATATATGTCAACATTTAGTAAAGCTTTTTTTTGATTTTCAGAAAAAAATCAAATAAAAAGAGTATCGATCTTTTGTAATTCTTTGAGCAATCAACTCCTTTGACATAAAGTCAAATGCCAAACACTTGCTCTGTATTAATCCCCATTATTACTGGTGAAGCCTCATTTGAATGTGTGAATTCAATACAGGCTATGTAAAAGTTTTTGCTAATGTCAATCTTTTGAAAAATAAATTTAAAAATATATTCAAAATTACCACTGTATAAAAGATTAATTGTAAATAGTCCCTGAAGCCAATTTTCCAAATAGAGTAGACATTGCTTTGTCCACAATGACAGCACATCTTTTCAAGTCCTCAGCCATTTCTTCTACCCGTCTATTACACTGTAGTATGCTAACTTACATTATCCATGTTCAATGTTAAGCTTATAAGGCACAAAGCAGACTTTTTCTGATAGTTTAGAGGACTAATATTTCTAATTGCTAATTTACTAAATCAGTTTAAAACAACCATACACATATAATCAGGCTGTTTGAGCATTTCTGCAATTACTGCATGTATTAGTAATACTTATTGTCTTTAGTTAAACCATCAGTTTTATAATTTTTTCTACATAATTCAGAAATACCTATCCAAGCAGACAATTCAACAGGCCTGGGAAATGGGCTGATTTACTTAAATATTTATTGAATTGTACATTTATGTTATCCACATCTAATAAGTAAACATGTGAAAGGTATGTTTCTTCTATGAAGTTGGATCCTTTATAGTTGCATATCATAAAGAAAAACCCAAACTGTGTTAAACTATAAAGAGAAATAAAAAGAGTCCTGCTATCGGTTAAGCCTTCAGCTACCGGTTGATCAGACCTCTGGTCAAGTTTCTCTACAGTTCTTTTAGCTTTACCTTTCTTCATTTCATTTTCAGGGTGGCTTCCCTCATGGTGGAAAAATATAAGTCTCACCTGTTATTTATCACATTCAGAACATACAAGCATGTTATCTCAAAATTTCTAGGAATAATCATGAATTATAATTACTACATATCTACTCCACAACCTATTTTTTTGGCAGAGAAGTAAACTGAGGTTAGGATAAATTAAACAACTTTCTCATAGTCAAATACCTGGTAAGTATCTGCCACCAGTGCTTTCTCCTTTAATATGTGCACAAATTGGGGTCTGGTACAAAACAAAATTTGCTCCAGCGAGTTAAAATGAAGATGATTTGATGAAGGGACTATTTTAGAGTGTGGTGAGGTTTTACTGAAACAAACAAGGGATGATGGAGAGGCACCCAGAGATGGGCATTGAGGGGAATCAATCCGTTTCCACCCATATGGCTAAAGGGTCAGGGAAGAAACTTCACTTTCTGAAGCCAAGTGAGTCAATTGAGGAGGATTTCAATCCCCAGACAGCTATGATCCTGGAAGGGATTCAACTTCCACATGGGTGAAATACCAAAGCAGAGTATCTACTTTCTGTCATTCAGACGCAGCTGCTGGTACCTCCCACTGATCAAGCCCAAGGGGGAAGACAACCATCAAAACAGCTAGGGAGATGAGCAGCAGGGCAGGGAAGGGAGGGAAATGGATTTGGTCAGGACCCATGGAGAATAGCTAGCCCAGCCACGATTAGTGTAACTGTAGCATTATTGAATGAATATCACCAGCCACACAGATAAGTATGACATTGACATCATATGCTGCACATTGTTTCTGAACTCCAGTTATAGATTCTTATAGACTTTTCTGCATTTATCAGAGGTGCAAAGAAATTAAAAATATATGCTGAAACTTTGTCAAATGTTTAGCTGACTCTGGTTTTCCTTTATGAAACACCAAGCTCTTTTTATCATGTCTATGCCTAACACAGACTTCACTTATTTAAAAAATATGGTTAGTGTTAAACATCAAAGTATAAACAGGAAACGTATACACTGTTAATCTTAATGGGAAGTCAATTATATATTATATAAATATAGCAGAAAGCAAAAATAACATTTGGATAATCATGAGAATTGAGAAAATCAGAGTACAGAGCTCTAAGTTGCTGCAGTTAAAGTCATTTTCTCCCTTATACTAATTACTGCCTGAAATGCACAAAGCCTTTGTATGAACTATTTACCTACGTGTTAGACTTTCATGAAGTGATTAAGTCAGTAATATTTATCCATAGCCTGGTATCAGGCAATAGCTGGGAGAGGGCATTAATTGATTTTGTATACTTACTTCATTGATTAATTCATTCAATAAAGTAGCACTGAATATATGGTAGACCTAAGATAACTCATGGTAGGGAGTTGGACACACAACAACAGATACTTATTTCTGAAGTTTATTAAAAGTGCATACAAATTTCCAACTTCTGTTATAGGCTCTTTTTGGAGCATGTCTTTACTTTTCATGGAAATCCCATAAGAATGCATTATTCTCATTTCACAGATGAGGAAATTGAGATATAGTAAATGCAGAGTAGGAATTATAATCCTGCTATGTGCTGATCCAGAGGTCAGTCTTCGCTTTCGCAATAGTTTATACAATTCATGATATATGGAGACCATAGGGGTCTTAAAAACTAAGATGGGAATCTATTTATGGTTCTTAGAAGTTCATCTGGGGTAATAAGTTAGGGCAGGGGTCTTCAAACTTTTTAAACAGGGGGCCAGTTCACTGTCCCTCAGACCGTTGGAGGGCCATTGGAGAGTGCGGCGCACATTCCACACATGCTAAGCAGGACAGGCAGCCAGGGCAAAAACACCTGGCAGGCCAGATAAATGTCCTCGGTTGGCCGCATGTGGCTCGCGGGCCATAGTTTGAGGACCCCTGATAGGGTCTTGAAGTGCAGTTGCCATAAAGATAGTAACTGTCATTTATTGGATACTATGCCCTAATGGCTTACATACAATATATTATTTATAATAGCCTTATGTGCTTTGTATGGTTATTTAATACCCCTTTTACCCACAAAAAAATAGAGCCCCAGAGAGGTCAAGTAATTTGCCAGAAGACATACCACTTGTAAGGAAGAAGGCAAATTTTTTGTCACTTTATTATCAAGCTGAGTTGCCTTCTACTACTTTAGAAAATAATTACTCATGTCTAACTATTGAGAATCATGGCATATCCACAGCATCTCCCATCTTCTTTACATTACAGTGTAGGGCTACAAAATAATGGGTAATCCCACCAGCCTGAATTAGCATTGTTACATTTAAAGGGATGGGTTTTTTTCATTAAAAAAATCAAATATTTTCCAAACTGTTCAATTTTGAAAATGTACTATATCAACACTTTCTAGTAAGGTATCCACTCGGCAGCCACATGTAACTACAGAGAACTATAAATGTATTAATGCAATTGAAGAACTACATTTTAAATTTTATTTCATTATAATAAATTTAATTTCAAATAATTGATATCATATTGAACAGGGCCATTCTATACACTACCAATGAGTTTAATATGACTTTTACAGTACAGAGTAGATTTTTATCCATGCAAGAATATTTACTAGGCCTATGGTGAACACTGGGGATATAAAAATTAATAAGATGCCGTCCTGAACTTTAAGGTGATCATAGTTCAATAGAAGAAGCAGTAATTGAGATACAACAGAATACATTTTAATAATTTATTAAATATTTGAAATATAGCAAACAATTGAAATACAGCATGATAAATTTTATCATAGAAATATATGCAAGTTACATCAGCAACCAAAAGGGCTGATCACTTCTGCCAACTGTAGAATGATTGCAGAGGAACGTGGAAGACTTCATTGAGGAGATAATGGTTAAGGTGGGTTTTGATATATGCATAAGAGTTCAACAAGAAGATTTGGTGGGGAGGTGCTATTCAAGGCAGAGAGTAAATTCAAAGACCAAGATGTGCCTGGACACATCTTTGACAGGCTGGCATAAAGAAGGGCTTAATTAACTTCTTTTCCTTCTTCTGAAGCAGAAGCAGTAGTTTTTCATATACATTTGATATATAAAGAGCTAATAATAACATTAGGGGAAGCTACCCTTTTCCCTCTTTCCACAGACTTATGAGACCACAAAATGTGAATTTCCCAGTATGTTCAATAGGAGGAAGGCAATTTCTTTCTTTTCTTCTCTTTTTCACTTCCCAAGAGACCCACTGTCATGACTACAGGTGAAGAGGTGGTTTCAATTGGAAGGAATTCAGATGTTCAAGGTCCATGTCCATCACTGGAAGTTTCTTTTCCCCAAAGCTGGACCTTGAATGATGCACCCTCTATGTTGCAGCCTTCCTCTCAGAGGGGAAAGCCTGCAGTTATCCTGATGCTTAACTGGCAACTGTGGTGAGGGATAAGCAGAAATAGAAAGAGGGGAAGACCATCTTGGATGTTCATCTGCAAGGCAGAACCTCTAACACACATATTTCTACTTTGGCAGTCAGGCTATTTCTACTTTGGTTTAGTATCTTAAGTAGAGAGAGACCTCATACTTCAGCACCCCTCTCTTAAATATCGACACAACTCTTCCTTTATTATATATCTTTCAATTGAAGTAAAGATAAATGTAGCTCATTTCCTTGACTTCAATACTTACTGCTTATGTGACTAAGGGAAATTAACCTTTCCATGGCTCATCTCCTTGTTTGTAAAATGAGAACATAAATAGTACATATCTTATAGGTTGGTGTGTAAATTAAATGAATTAACATAGGGTGTGACTTTTAGATCTGAGCCAAGTACATGGGAAGCTCTCAAATATGTCTGTTGCTATTACTGTTGTTATTCCTGGTACATAGTTTGGGCTGCAATCATCTCAAGGTAAACTCTTATGTCTCTGGTCTGGATTGGGATCTGAGATTCTGCATTTCAAACAAGCTCCAGGAATATTGCTTCCCCTTGGCCCATACTTCGAGGAATAAGGCAATAGAGAGTCAGTCCTCTCGTTTCCTATTGCACCATGTCTGTCCTTTTTCTCCTGCTGATTGGCCCCTGGAAGAAATCCCCATTGTGTTACTTTCCTAGAGCTGCTGTAACAAAGAACCTAAAACTGGGTGGCTTAAAATGATGGTGTATTCTTTCATAGTTTTAGAGGCTAGAAGTAAAAAAACCAAGGTGTCAACTGGGCCCTGCTCAAAACCTCTAGGGGAAGATGATGCTTTCTTGCTGCTTGTAGCTTCTGGGTAGCTTTGGGTGTTCTTTGGCTTGTAGCAGCATGACTCCAATTTCTGCCTCTATCTTCCCATGACCTGCTTCTCTCATTTGTCTGTGCCTCTT